TACATACTTGAGCTCTGGGGCCCTTGTGGCTTGTCGTAAGGATTTGTGCTGCCATCCCCAAAGCATGTGGTTCAAATTCACTAGCTGCTCCACAGGACAAAGACAGGCAGTCTCTTCTGGAATGATTTACTGTCTCTGAAAACCCACTGGAGAAGTAGCTCTGAGTCAGTTCTGATTCATTGGCACATAGCAAGAGCAAGAACAGCATGGAGGTGTGTGAGATAACAGAGCCAATTCCTAACGGAACCTGCTGCCAGTGGCTTACTAGGACAGAGCAGAAAAGTCTTATAGGTTTTCCAAGGGAGCCCTGGTAGTCTAATGGTAAGAAGCTGCGCTGCAATCCCAAAGACATGTGGTTTGAACCCACCAGCTGCTCCGTGGGAGAAGGATGGGTAGTTTCCTCCCATGTGATTAACTGCCTCTGAAAACCTGCTAGAGGTCAGCTATGGGTCAGTTCTGACTTGATGGCACAGCAACAACATAGGGTTTCCAAGGCTGTAAATCTTTACCAAAGCAGATTTCTTCATCTTTCTTCAGGCAGTAGGTTCGAACTGTTGACCTTTGGATTATCACACAAACCCTTTAAGCACTATACTACCAGGCATTTGATGATAGAGTGTTGTTGTTGGGAAGTTATGAGCTGGCACAGACTCGTAGCCACCATCGGTGATAAGAGGATGAGACCATCTCAATCGGACCCCATCCTCACACTCTTGGCTTTGCTTGAAGCTCTCTTTGCAGCTGTTATGTCAGTCCATCTTTTTAAAGATTTTCCTCTTTTTCACTGAATGTTGTTATTGTTATGTGTTGTCGAGTCACTTGCAGCTCATAGCAACCCTCTGTACCGCAGCTCTGAACCCTGCTCTATCTTGAGTCAATTTCATCGTCTCTGACACACCTGCCCCCATTATTCCAGTCACTGAGTCAATCCATCTCATCCAGGGTCTTCCTCTCTTATGCTGTCCCTCAACCCTTCCAAGCATGATATCCTTTTCCAAGGACTGGTAGAAAAGACAGATAGAAACCTGTCACTTAGATATAATTGAAGAATATTTCATTCAACCAAAGATGATTTGATTATTCAGGTAACGAGGATTTATACATACTTGAGCTCCGTGGCCTAAGTGGTAAGGAGTTGTGCTACCACCTCAAAGATAGGTAGTTCAAATCCATAAGCTGCTCTGAGGAAGAAAGATAGGCAGTTTCCTCCTGTGAGATTTATAGCTTATGAAAACCAACTGGAAATTCAGCTATGAGTGAGTATCAGCTAATAACAAGATGTACATACTATGTAAAGGTAACACAAGAGACACAGCCATAAAGAATTTGGCAGTTTTGTCCAGTTAAATGCCATATATTATCATTGAACTTCTTGATTGTCTAAGATCAAGAACTTCACTCCTGATTCAGTTCAGGATGTTATGGGATCCTTATGATGTAAAATATGACCTAATTGTTCAAGGGACCAGTTTTCCTTAGACAGTGGGATTAACAGAGAAAGAAAGAGACTGAGAGACAAAGAAAGTTAGAATTAGAATTGAAGTAAGGGGAGATATCAGGGGACTTGATGGAAGATATCAGATATATAGCTACAAATATAATCCAACCATATTAAATTGATTTTGCATAATTAAAGTAGTGTCTCTTTCAGGAATATAGGTTGAGCTTATACAAGGAAGTCTAAACATTAATTTTGAACATCAACACATTAACTATAGGAAAACAGCCACTTTTTAAAAAAACAGAAGCTAAATCCATTTTGATAAAATTCAATAATCATTCCAGTATTTTACTTCATGTTAAATTTTGCAAGTATCCCATCAAAGTGAAACTATCTGGAAGAGTCACCTATGTGGTTCTGAAGCCTGGGAAGGAGAAGGTAATGTTATCCTCAGGTGCAATTTATATGCACTTTCTCTGGTTTTGTTTTATCTAGAGAATCCTAGAGAATAATTGAAAGAACTCTGACCTGTAAAGAGAATTCAGTGTGATGATTAGTTAAAATATCTTAGATTTTTAGCTATTGATAATTATTGTTAGTGAATCTGAATATATAGGAAAGAAGTATACTAATAACAATAGCTTCAAAGAAGCTGAAACATTTAGGTGTAAATTTCCTTTTAAGCTCAACTAGGAGACAAAAAGGTATTCAAGAGAAGAAAAGGCAAACATTACTCTTTCAGGAAGAGGAGTTAGAACCCTTGAAATGTGACATTTTTAGCCATTATCTTGATCTCCAGCTGCCTTACCTGTGGACATACGGTCTTGTAAATCATCAACAGCTGTGGGGCCAATATAAGAGAGCACTTTCCACACTGTGAGAAATGATGGGATGACGGTGGAGAGATTGTGAGGAGACCGTGGCAAGGTGTAACCAGAGGAACCCTGGTAATGGCTGTAGTTTAAGGTTTTGCTTGCTGGATGATTGAAGGAAAAGCTGACTTGTAACTGCTCTGAGGCAAACCTTGCTGGAGATTGAGGAAACCAAAGACTTCTTGCATTGCTGCTACTGAACTGAACCTGAACTTTCTCTAATTGGGGAATTGTGCCTTGTTAATCTGGCTTGGCTCTCCTGGACTAAACCTGTACTTTCATGGGGTGATATTCCTTGCCTCCCCAACTCTCCAAGTTATTTCCATAATTAACACCACAACATGAGTAAAGTCTGTGAGTCAACAATGAATACTGGACCTGATTGATTGGTAGAAGTAGGTGCAGGAAGGAGCATGGGAAGCGGCCTGTCTGACCAAGCAGCCACCTGTTTGCTGGCATGGATATTATGGGTGGGAAAAGCTTCCCTTTATGAAGTGGGCAGGAGTCTGACTCAGCCGCCCTCCTGGTGCATCATCAGCTCCTTTTACACAGGAAGAGGGAAGATGATCATGTTTACTCATTGTCATGTGCTGTTGAATCAGTTTGAATTCTTGATGACCCCATGTAACAGAATAGAATTCCCCCATAAGACTTACTAGGCTGCAAGAATGGGGATACCTTGTCTCAGTGTTATCAGGAGAACATAGGCCTTGAAAATGGACATCACACTTGGAAAGGAAGAGTCAGTGAAGGAGAGGAAGTCCCTCAATGCAGTGAACTGACAGTGACAGCAACCGTGGATTTACACACAGTAGAGATTGTGAGGTTGGCGAAGGATCGGGAAGGGTTTCTATCTGTTGTAGATGGGGTCACTGTGAGACATACTTGGCTTGAAGGCACCTAGTGACAACAACAACAACAACAAAATTTCCAAATCTTTTCCTCACATAGCTGCTGACTGGGTTTGAACTGCTGTACATGAACTCATGCCCACCCCCCACTCCCCCCAACCCCCCCCCCGCAAGCCTCCTTATTTGTAAAGGTGTTAGATGTAAATCTTGAGGTAAAACTACCTGAAGAGGAGGGGCAGAGTCTCTTTAAGATGAAGCTGGGCCCTGAGAGAAGGAAGGAGGGGCGGGCTGAGGAGCTGTTGAACAGACTTGACCTTCAGCCATGATGTTGTGGGACTTGGGGGAAAAGTGTTTTTGTTTTGATTTTTTTTTAAAGTAGGAGGAGTCCTTGGGAAGGTGCAAACTGTTAACAAGCTTGGCTGCTAATCAGAAAGTTCAAATTCACATATGCCTTCGAGGAAAGGTTTGATGACCTGTTTTTTTAAAAATCATTCATAGAAAACTCCACAGACACTCACTACAAAACCAACCCCACAAGAGGAAAAGGGCAGGATTTGTTCAAGGATCACGCTCAGAAGGCAGGAAGGACTAGAACTGAAGGACAGATAGAAACAAGAATCACAGGGAGGATCTAGGAAGGGTGCTGCTTGATGCTGGGATTGCCATCAGGGTCACTGACCAAAGTATACATTTTTGGATGGAAAGCCAGTGTTGCTCTATAAACTTTGATCCAAATCACAAGGAAAAGTTAATAATAGAAAGAACTCCATGGAACAGTTCTCTGGTACACAGGAGGTCTCCACAAGTTGGAATTGGTGGACAACAACTGCTTAGCAAGGTTTGCTTTTGCCAATCTCCATTGCTTCTCATTCATACAGATCTTCTCTGAACAGAATCATTGCTTCCACTTGGCTTTGAAGCCGACTTTGTGCCTCTTTCAGATCCATCTCCATGCTCTGACTGGTAGCAAGGAGGGAGTGGAAAGACCCAGTTACACTGGACTTTTATAACTATGTAAAAAAAGTAAAAGATTCAAATCAAGTTCAGTTCTTTGGGCCTGGGTTATTACCTTCAACTGAAACAATGATAATGTAATGACAGAAACAAAATGGTAGAAGCTGTGGTATCACAGTGCTTAAGGGCTGGACTCTTACTGCGATGCTATCTCAGTAAGTGGTTCGAAGTAGAAAGGTTAGTGGTTCAAGCCCACCAGCTACTCTAAGGGAGAATGATGAGGCAGTTGGCTCCCATAGAGAGTTCTGGCCTCACAGATGCCATGGGAAAGAAAGTTCCACGCTGTCCTAATGAGTTGGCATCTATTTGATGGCTGTAGTTATTTTATTCTTTTGACACACTGCACACTGGGGTCCTGCATCCAGCGTGGTTCAAGTAATTCTCCCAGTACTTTTGGGGGTGGCTGGGCAGGATCTGAATACCGTTGTGGTTGGGAGCTGTCTGTACTGCTGGGTGTTGGTTGGCTGGTTGAGCTGACATCTCATTTACTGGCCAAGAACGAGCTAACTGCCCAGGGAAGTGCCCAGTCCTTGTCAGGTCAGAAAAGCCCCTCCTTTTTGCTTTAAGTAAACCGTCCTGTCCACTTTCAGGAGATTGGCTGTGCTTGAGGCAAATATGAACCAAGAACTACTAAGATAAACATTTGGATGTGAACTGTAAAGAAATACAAAAGGAGTCTCTTAAACTGTGACTTCAGCCATAACGCCCTTTATGTCAGTGTAATTATAAACATGAAGTGACACTTTTGAACTTGGCATTTCCACAGCCAGAGCCAACCGTTCGGAGCGCTCAGGTAACGAGTCCTCTGTGTTTGTGTTGCAGGCCACCTTTTCCTGCAGCTGCGAGGAGCAGTACGTGGGCACTTTCTGCGAAGAGTTCGACGCCTGCCAACGGCAGCTCTGTCAGAACAATGCCAGCTGCATCGACGCGAGCGAGAAGCAAGACGGCAGCAACTTCACGTGCATTTGCCCTGCCGGTACGACGTCGGTTTTAATCGTGCTCTCACGTCTGTCTGTAGCGTGCGTTCTTAGTAATGAAAGGTGACCAAGCGATGCTTTCTCCAAACAGCTGGTGCAGAGGACAAGCCCACGATCTCTTTTAGTTCCATCAGGCTGCACCTTACGTGGACTCTCTGAGCAGCATGCGTGGTTAAACCTGGAGTGTTGACGGCAAGGCCGGAAGGTCGAGTCTAGCTGGAGGTGCTTTGGATGAAGGGTGTGGTGATCTGCGCCTGAAATATTGACCCTTGAAACCCCTAAGGAGAATAATGCTATGACACATGGAATGTGAAATCACCTTGAGTCAGACAGAAGTGACTTAGTGACAGCTGTGTGTGGGTGTGCATGTGTGTGTGTGTGCCTGCATCCGTGCCCGCGCACGCACGCACACACACACACACACACACACACAGAACACACACACGCGCGTGCACTGCAATCAGGGCTGAAGGAGGCAGTTCACATGAGAGTAAGTGCTGTGTCCTCTGACTTGCCTCTTGGTGTTGGAATGCTTCTAATTTAGCACTCTGCCATCTTTGTTCTGAGAGAATCATGTCTTAGTCATATAGAGACTTGAATGTTTTCAAAACAATTAGACAAGTATCGGGAGCTCTGGTGGCCTAGTGGCAAGAAGCTTCACTGCAATTCCAAAGGTGTGCAGTTCGAATCCACCAGATGTTCTGCTGGAGAAGGAGGGTCAATCTCCTCCTGTACCAGTGAGATACAATTTGACGGTGCACATGCAAAAAAATAATAAAAGAAAATAAAAAAATAAAAACAATTCTACAAGTATCTATTGATACTTCCTGGCTGGTGCAATACTGAGTGACTATATTAAGTAATTTTTAAAAAAGAATTTCATATTGATTTATATACAAAAGTCATATACACCTTGTGTCTCACATACATTGTATTTCATGCATCCCTCCATTCACATTGTGTGTCACATTATCATTCTCTTGTCTTGTGGTTTTTAAAAAAATTTTTTTTTATTATTTTTGTGTGAGTGTACCGTCAAATCAGATCTGACTGGTACAGGAGGAGATTGTCCCTCTTACCCCGGCAGAGCATCTGGTGGCTTCGAACCGTGTGCCTCTGGTATTGTAGTTGCAGCTCCTTACCACTAGGTCACCAGAGCTCCCCTTTGTCTTGTGTTTTATAAAATTAATCACCAGTGATTCAGACCCATCTTTACCCTGCCTTTTCAGGTCCTCATTTTAAATCTAGTATAAACTGTACAAGTTATAGAAAGTCCTAATCCTCTAGTTTGAATGATGTTCGTTTTCTTGATGTGTGTTCCTGAACTAAAATTCTTGGCGTGCTAGTCTTCGTCTTACAAACTTGGCCTTGTTGTTGGGAGAGGCTGGTCCTTGGAAAGAGACATCACACTTGGAAAGGTGGAGGGTCAGTGAACGAGAGGAAGAGCCTCAACGACATGGATTGTCACCGTGACTGTACCAAGGGCCTTGAGTATGTCAGAAGTGATGAGGATGGCAGAGGACAGGGCCGGGTTCAGATCTGGGCTCCGAACAACAGCGAGAACAGGAGTAGAATGCCCAAGGCAGGTGGTTTCAATTGTTGTGTACTGTTGAGTCAGCACCAACTCATAGCTCACCCTCCAGCAGATTCGCAGAGGCAGTAAATCACACGGAATCTTTCTTCTGTGGAGCAGCTGGTGGATTCGAACTATGTGCCTTTGGATTGGCAGTGCGACTCCTCCCACTAAGCCACCAGTGCCCCGTGGTTGGTCTTAAGAAGACTTAAGGGGTATTTTTGGTTCAAGGTTCAAAAACTATATAGAGGCAGTAGATTCAGGGGCTTCCTCTAGCCTCCATAACTCCAGGAAGTCTGTAGTCCATGAGAGGTTGAACTTCTGTTCTGCGCACGTTGGCCAAATCGTTGACGTTGCTTGATTGGTATGTGGATTGTTGTATTACCGTGAGAATGTGTTTGTTCTCAGTGCTGTGTTCATGGCTGGCCCTGCTCTGTTTTCACTGCTTGACCCTGTTTCCTAGCTGTGGGGGGTTGGGGGGGGCGGAGTCCTTTACTGCAGTGAGTCTCTGTTAGTCCATCTCAGTGAGCATTTTACCCCAGCCTTGTCCCTCTACCAAACATGATAAACAGCCTTCAAAACACCTTGATTTCTCTAAATTAATATGCATGTTGGAACCTTTAAGCATTGATCAGTTTGGAAAAAACAACTCATCTTCACTGATATTTTACACCATGTTGTTTTCTGTGAGCTGCCTCGCTAGTTGGGAGTTGTTCATCTCTGAGGAAGACAAGCTGTTCTTCCTCTCCTAGAGGTTTAGAGCAGTTGGGGAACCATGGAGCTATTGAACGTCTTCTCTGCCGTCCTGCAGTCGGCAGTTCTCACATCTCCCTCCGCACCCCTTACTTTATTCACACGCGGACCCCAGATGGGCCCACGCAGGCTGCCGTCTCAGCCATCACGTCTCCTTCAGGGTCTGTCGACCCTCAGCTGTTGTAATCTGCATTGTCACAACACCAACCACGGGGCTCCCACCCCCATAATCCTGGCCTTTCTTCACTCTCTAGAACAAATCCTCTTCTGAGGTAGAAATTATTTCATTATTAATTAATTAGGTCTTTTCCTCAAATACCCTGACTCTCTCTTTACTCATCAAACTTAAAAAAAAAAACCCCTTATTATTTATTTATACCATTATTCACTTTTAAGAAAAAAATATGCAATTGTTTACTTTTAAACAATCGTGCATATACATTGTTTCACTCATATACATTTTGTTTTATATAATCGCTCTGTACATTGTGTTTTATATTATTAATTACTGTTGATCTGTTATTTTTCCTTTCCATCTCCTCAAGTCCTCATTACACCCATCTATTTCTTTTCCCCAGTCCCCACTGCTGCCCTGGTGATTCCCTCTTCCATCTTCCACACTCCTTCTCCCCTTTCTCTTTTAAACAGTTCTGTCTATCTCCCTATCTTATTCCTATTTGCTAATTGCAATAGTTAAACAGCACTAAAGAACAATGAAGTATTTATCAAGTAATACACAACATATAGGAAGCATGAGTGGCATCTGCTTCCTAAATAACACACCTCCGGAAACTCTATGAACTTTGATAAATGTTGAAATTGTAGAGGGGCTTCAGGCCTTTTGTTCACAGGGTCGCTGTGAGTCGTGTTTGACTCGAAGGCAATCAACAATGACAACACTCAACATAGGGGTGTCTAGAGAACATTATATTGAGTGGCATAACCCAGTAACAAAAGCACAAATACTGCATGAGGCCACCACGGTGACAAGAGGAGGGTAAGTGAGGAGGGCAGAAGAAGTGGGAGGCTAGAAATAGAACGGGCAGACAAATCACAGTCACACGGGAAGGACTGAGGTGAAGACAATATGGCTCATTGAACATTTGAACCCTTTCAAGTTTTTTCACAGGTGTCAACTTTTTCTTCCCTTCCCTCTGCCCCTCCCCTCCACCACAAGAAACTCACAAGCCTCCCAAATGTTCCCTTTCTCCATTCTAGCCTCTATCACCTCCACCTCTCCCTCAGTTTTTCATCTCAAAGACACACACACACAGCCCAACCCAACAACAATCAAGCTGAAGTTTCTCGAGTATTTACCATGTGCAGTCTCCGCCCATGCGGTTTACAGCCTGTACAAACCTACTGAAGATCAGTTAGGAGTCACTTCTCACTCGGTGGCAATGAGTCACGAGTTTGTTTTAGTCTTGTGCTGAGTATTTCCCAAGGGTGAGTCCCTCCTTTCAAAATAGAATTTATTTCAATAGTAAAGTATTAAAATACAGTTGTGACAGTAGAAGGTAATAAAGTAGAAAGTAATATGCAAAATTAATAAGATGTAATACTAAGTTTTAGAGTAAAATTAGTTTTAGCACAAGAGTTTATGCTCAACTTGTATCTGAGAGACCAGCCAATATTCTATATATATTATTAACTATACCAGGAAAAACACCACTATTTGCTGTTTAAACTAACAGTTACAATTCAAAGACAGGTTTATATTCCTAGGAAAGCACTTTTGAAAATGTAAGTATAAATATTGGGGACATATTTTTTTTAAACTGGCCTCATTTCAGATTGATAAAGCTGTTTTTGAAAGGAACATGGGATTCACTTTCACTAATTCACCTTTATGATTAAGACAATGTCAAGTAAATACATCCTTTTTGGATGAAACAAGATGTTCTGATAAAAATGGGACAAGGTCACCTGCTTTCATTATGTGGTGTGACATTCTCAAAACTTATAGGTCTCAGATGGAATAGTGAGTGAATTCTACTCATCCATTTCTCAAAGTTTTATTTACAATCATAATAGAGATATTATCTGTATATAGAACAAAAAAATGAAGTAGAAGATAGTTGGATAGTATTAGGGATCTCTTCAGGAACTGTGTTTTAGATTTATAGTTTGCAGAATAGAATAAAATAATCTCTGTTGTTGTTGTTGTTATGTGCCATCGAGTTGCTTTCAACTCATAGCGACCCTATGTATAACAGCCCTAAACTCCGCTCTGTCCTGTGCCAATCGCACTGTCTCTGACACTCCCATCCCAATTATCCCAGTCACCGAATCAGTCCACCTCATAGAGGGCCTTCCTCTCCTGCGCTGTCCCTCCACCCTCCCAAGTATGATGTCCCTCTCCAAGGACCGGTCTCTCCTCACAACATGTCCAAAGTATGTTAGACAGAGCCTCAGAATCCTTGCCTCCAAGGAGCCACCTGGTTTAACCCTTTCCAGGACAAATCTGTTTGTTTTGCTAGCAGTCCATGGTATTCTCAATACTCTTCTCCAGCACCACAGCTCAAAGGCATCAATTCTCCTTCTATCCTCCTTGGTCATTGTCCAACTCTCTGATGTATAACAAGTGATTGCGAAGACCATAGCCTGTATCAGACGCACCTTAGTCTCCAGAGAGACACCATTGCTCTTCAGTACTTTGGAGAGGTCCCTAAC